TACCATATTGAAAAATATACTATTTTTGTATGATAATTATGGGTTTTGTATTTTATTTTAATAGAAGTTGATGTTGCTTTTGCAATTATCCATCAATTTTTTAAAATTAAACACTATCTACAGATTTGCATCGAAGCGTTTCTTATGATAGTGATTTTAATCACTGTCAGATTAAATCTATACTGGACCCTACTATGCAATGTCTCCACTATGCCGCGACCCCACTGTGCTACCGTTTTTTTTAATAGTTATGTTTTAATAGTCGAATAGTATTAGTTTACATAGTTACACTACCATAAAATTTTGACTTGATGTTAATACAAACACGAAATATATTCATATTTTACTAATGAGTTTTAACAGCAAATAAGTATATGTCACTAGTCGCGCACTGCAGTATAACATTACTACATCCGTTTGGTACATGTCATCGTACGTATTAATTGTACGCATATTTGCGCTGAATAGTTAAGTTTAAATCCATGTCTGTAGTTTAATAACCACTGACTGAAAAGTACTAACATCTTATCTACAATATAGAAATATCATTATTCTGTCATATGTTTACAATTAAAATATAATAATTCAAATTTACCAAATTAGAAAAACTTTAGTGACTCGTATCGTACACATAAAAACAACATTATATGGTTAAAAAACTTCACTGCTATAGTCGCTTTTCCGCCGTCTGTTTTTATCCACCATTACGTGCCATTAATTATTGTCTACTCTCGTTACTTATTAGATGTGCGATTAGCCGTCATCCTCCTGCTACAATAATAGTGATTTAAACAGACTTAAGGTAAACGGCATACTAGTGCGGTGCAAAACTAAACATTCTACGATCTAGCTGACTCATACGAAACAAAAGTTAACTTTGTATGAAGTGAAAATTTTGATTTATAGTGTAGAAAACGTTTGATTATAAAGATACGTCAAAAAATCACAAATCGAATCTAGTTGAAGACTTGACTTTTGAAAAAGTACCGGAAAGTCTGAAACTTTTATATATATCTTATATTAAAACTAACTTAATATACTTTATCATGGAAAAAAAAAATTTCGGACTTTATTTTGTCTTCACGGTGAAAATGGCTACCGAATGCTATTTTTGTGTGAAAATTCTCGATTTTGTATTTTACATTTTGAACTTTATTATGCTAAAACTTTTTGAAAAATGTATGGATCAATACAATTTTTTCATGAGAAGTAGTATTTATATACACCTTACATTCGACATACTGTTTTTTTAAATCAGACCATGTTTTACATGCCCATAGGGGGGTTTCATAATGGAAACTTTTCCAATAAAAATTAACATTTTCAAATTAACTTTTGAAAGGGTTCCAGAAATACTGACACTTTTATGTATATCTTAAATTAAAGTTAATGTAATATATTTTATTATGGAAAAAATAAAATTCGGACTTTTGAGTGAAAATACTCGATTTTATTTTTTTCTGTGCTGGTTTTTTGTTTTTATTTTAAATTGCCATAACTTTTTTAAAAAAGGCCAAATAAATATACATTTTTTTTTAGATTCATAAATCTATATCAATTAAAATATTATTTTGAAAAAAATTTTTTATAAATTTGACCCTTTTCTGTTACAAGAGGGATACAAAATTACAACTTTTTCAAAAAAATTAACTTTTTCGACTTAACTTTTGAAAGTGTTCCAGAAATACTGACACTTTTATGAATACACTTTAATTAAGCCTAATGTAATATGGAAAAAAAAAATTAGGACTTTATGTTGTCTTAACGGTGAAAATGACTACCGTATGCTATTTTTGTGCTCAAATTCCCAATTTCATTTTTTACATTTTTAACTTTATATTTCTATAACTTTTTGAAAAATGTATTGTTTCAGTACAATTTTGTAATGAGAAATTCTATTTATATACTTCTTTCATTAGACATATATTTTTTATAAATCGGATAATTTTTCTTTTTACAGGAGGGTTCAAACCTTAAAATGCGTATAGAAAGTAGAACTTTTTCAACTTATACGTAATTAAATTATATGTATTGATTAATCTAGACTTAAAATAATAATCAAACATAAATATTTGTTATAATAATTAGAAGGATTCTGTTATTATTTAGGCCANCAGACTTAAAATAATAATCAAACATAAATATTTGTTATTATTTAGGCCATATGCGAAACTTTAATTGCAGATTTGAAATTGGCGTAAAAATGGGTTTAGAAAAGTATATTTTGGTCTCGGATAAAAATTGCTTGTAGACCAGTAAATTTATTTATAAATAACATACAACTTTTTTTTTTTAAAAATTGCAACAAGAAATTTAACTTTTATATGCGTTTGCAATAAAAGTTTTAACTACTTTATAATTTTTTATAATTTCTCGTAAAAATTACACTACTAAATTATTGAATATCAATTTTATACTATACTTCATTTAATTGCTATGATGATAAATACTTATACATATATTACNTTTTTTTTTTAAATATTGCAACAAGAAATTTAACTTTTATATGCGTTTGCCATAAAAGTTTTAACTACTTTATAATTTTTTATAATTTCTCGTAAAAAATACACTACTAAATTATTGAATATCAATTTTATACTATACTTAATTGCTATAATAAATATTTATACATATATTACACTTATAAATCATAAAACATGTAATAAGGATACAAATAAGGAATTAGGATATCACGTTGCTTTTGTAGTAATCCACCAATTTCTTAAAATTAAACACTATCTACAGATTTACATCGAAGCGTTTTTATAGATAGTGATTTTAATCACTGCCAGATTAAATCTATACTAGACCTAACAATGCCACGTCACCACTGCGCCGCGACCCCACTCTACTGGGTTGAGTTTTTTTTTTATTCTAAATAAATTTAAAATTAAACAAAGTATATTAATTGGCGAATATATTGAAAAAATCGTGTCAGTAAATCTAAAGCTAAAAATTATATTAATTATAAATTACCATCAAGGGTATACTCATTGTAAGTCTCTTCGATATCATGACATAATAATGCATATTGTATTTTGTTAATGGAACTACCACAAACAGAATCCGTTATCAAGTATTTAAAGAGGTCTATTTGAAGTACGTTAAGTCCCTCGCTCTTTAAATATAAAATTATCATATTTAATAAATAAATAAAGAAAAGTTGGAATAGACTTACTATTATTCCGGTAAAAAAACAAAATGAACAAAAGATTAGTATAGTTTTCAAATGCATTACAATGATTTTTTTACTTCAGAAAATAACAATTTAGAAAAATAATTATTCAAATATTTAAATTCTAGCTGTGTCATTTTACATATAATGTTTTACAATTTATACTGAAATAGTGCAAATATTAATTATTTAACTAAAATAATGTTATTTTTGAAAAAAAAAATTAGATTTTAATATATTGACACATTTACATTTAGACTTTAAAACAANTTGACACATTTACATTTAGACTTTAAAACAATTTTTTTTATGATGTCATCAAGTGTTTAAATTTACTATTCAAAGTGAAAAACTTCATTAAAACACAAATCAAATTTTATATGATTAAAGATTAAAATTTTTACTTTTTCTTGACCAATTAACGATTAACTATAGCTATATGTTTCTTTAATATAGTAAAGAAAAAACAAATTTTAAAAAAAGAATTTCTTAGATATACGTAATTTTGCTAATATATGACTCACTNAAGATATACGTAATTTTGCTAATATAAGACTCACATTATCTTTTTAAAATGATATAGATGTTGTTAAGTATCTCTTAATGTTATTCTGTATATTGAGTGGTGAAGACTTGTACCACGTAGCGGATTTTGAAGTCGCCACCCTGATGGCTATTGTAGCACTACTACATTTTTTTTAAAAGTCTTCTAAAAAAGTATTGCTTGTATCCAAAATACCAAGAGACTTTTCATTAGAAGATAATTTCATCTCCAACATACCAATCTGTTTAACAAGACAATAATCAGATTCTGCATTACCTTTTTCACTCTTGAACAATTTAGACTAAAGGAAATTTTTTTAGTTATCCAAGCTCTTTTGGATTTCATTAAAAAACATTCGATTATAATCATTAGTCAACCAAACCATAAACGTCAACCAAATACTTATTCCAATCGCTCCATCAAGCCGGACGTGACCTAACTATTTCTGTTTAGTAGATCTATTCACAGTTAATAATATATGATGGTACACACTTTTTTTTCCCTGAAATATTAGTTTTATTACTAAATTTGCAATCGTCAGAATTATTATAAAAACCCAAAAATACTGCCCAACGTGGTCAGTCGACTCCAGTGCTTCGTGTCATTTATCAGTCTCAGTACTCGGTTGTTGCTGTCCGACTTACTGCATTAATTCAAGTCTTTTTTCTTTTTTAACCTACCTACTCTTATCCTCGACATTTCATAGTACTTGTGTTTTGCACTTCATCTGCACCTTATACCTAGGTGTTACTTTTATTCCCTTCCTACAACAGCGGCCTTTTGACACTCACAGCTAATCCGGAGTGTCAGCTGAGCACGGTAACTGTCGTATGATCACACGCACGTGAATAACCAGGCGGAAGACTCAACATCATTGTCGTAAACACTTCAACTACTACAACCTCCTCTCTTGGTGTTTAATTTGTGTTACGACAATTTTGTAGCTTATATCCAAAAGCTGAGATGTTACAATAATGGGTTTAAGGGTATTTTAATAGGTTTCACATAGCTAAAATATTTAAATATATATTTTTATTTCACATTAAAATAATATTTACAGTTTACTAACTATTAAGAATTACAATTGTGTAATTAAAAAACAATTAAACAATTATTGTCATTAAGTTAAAAATCGAGTATTGTTATGAGAAATTTAAATCTTGTTGGCAACTAAAACTATTGCTTTTGAGTAAAAGGCTGGAATTATGTAAATTACTATTTTTGAACTTTTTACTTTGAAATAAATGGAACATTAATAAAAACACTGGGAGTGCAAATTTTTTGAATGAGGGTAATTAAAATTGGTTGATAATGCTGTATGTTTAACTAAAAGGAAAGGAATTTGACTTCAAATCTATTGTCTATTTCAAATTTTAGCATTAGCTAATAAAATATTTGTATTTGCATCATTTTTATGAAATTTTTTTATTGAAACTCTGTTTTAAGAACAAAAAAATGACGAAACCAAATTATTTTTTATTTAACATAACTTAAAAATATTATTAGGATATGCAAATAAAATAGATGTCAAAAAGAATTTATGACATTTAACAGACATACCTTTTATATTTCTGTCCAAATAATAAGATTGGCGGATTATTTTAAGCAATTACAAGTACAAATAAACCGAGAGCGGCATAGAATCTACAAAAAATGAATATAGAGATTACAATTTTTTATAATTGTAGAATATATTAAATAATTGTTAAAAAAAAATAGGGCATGGGAATATTTAAATAAAATAATAACTTTTCTTTTGTAATACGTTTATTTTTCGTAATACCAATTATATATCAAATTAGGAGGAAATTTTATTGAGATTTTATATAGTATATTATCACCGGCAATATGATTGTGACGTTCACCAAATTCTGTATTCTTCAATTGTGCCTTGTAGAATTATCTTTTTATCTGTACATCGCGTAATCTGTATAGTGTGTCATCTAAAAAATACAACAATATAATAAAGTATATGAATTATTACAATAATTGTTAAATAATTACATTCATCATAAATTTCTTTCTTTAAATTAACTAGAGCACTTTTGAGATTTTCATTGTCATTTTCGTTCTGTGTTACTACCTAAAATATGCAAAATAGTATATTGTAATACATTTATTA